AGATGCTGCCAGACCTGCTGAGCTTTTCCAGCAACTTTGTTTTTGTTTCACATTAACAAACCTGATTTCCTTGATCCTGTTGCTAGCGGGCAGAATTCCCACAACAAGCTCTTTCTGCCACTCACTAAACGTAGGACAGCTTTCTCGCCCTTGGTGGCCAGATGCATGGTCTCTCTTTTCTAGTGGGTTCCATTAAATTCCACCCATTAGTGTTCCTCATCTTAGCTGTAAAATAATTACATTTGGCAAGTAGGCTGCACAAAGGGAAGACGTCATAAATGAAGTCAGGTACCTCATGGCAGTATCACCTCATGGGCAGGAGTGCTTTGATCTTATTGAAGGTTTGCTCAATGGATATCAGCCACACCTGAGCCCCTGGCTCAGCATTCACATCAGTTCTGTATAAAGTTACGTGAATCATGAAATCATTTGTCTTTTGCCTCAGGCTGCTGTGTAACTTTCAGTAATAAGGAATGACATAATTAATAGTTTTCTCATATGCTGCCCAGTAATTTGCTGCCTTTTCCTGGTTGTTCCTGTATAAATCTGTTTGTAAGTGCACAAAGGCAAATATCAGAGACTCGAAAGCGGTAATTCATGATGACCATGGTGGCCTGGATTTTGCATTCAGTAAGAGGGCAAGCAGGGCATAGCTAACTATGAAAAAAGCTACCTGCGAGGATCCAATGATGTCTGAGATATGTTTTCTCCCCTCCTTTTCGGACAGCTTTTTGCATCAGCTGTCAAGTTAACAGGTGTTTTAGTATGCAGCTTCAGTAATACCAGTTAGCAGATGAATAGCCAATTATATAGTACATCAGGAAGTTAAAAGCAGATACTATTGTTCACTTTTAATTTATGTTTTCAGATATTGAAAAACATGATTGTTTTTGATTAAGAGATGCATTAAATTAAAGATAAAATAGTTCTGAAAAATATATTTGTTTAAAAAATGCAAACTTATTTGATCATGGTCGAGAAATTTGACATTCGACAAATATAAAATAAATTTTCAGAGCCTATGTTTGGCAATAATTGTAAAATTAGCATTCTGTTAGCAAAGACAGGTGTAATTCATTCAAAAGGGTGCAAATTTTTTCACCAGGTATTTACAGTGAGACTATCTGCATAAGTGTGCAAGTTTTATTTTGTTCAATAGTTCTCTTGTCAATCGGAGTCTAGGAAGAGGTTCAACAGCACAACCTGCACAGACTCACTAACACTGTTACTCTGTGCATGTGTTGACTCCTGAAGCTGATCTCCATTTTAGTGAAGGGATGACTGTCGACAGTTTTGTCATCACGAGCATCCACCATGTCCATACCCTTTCCTGTTCACCCCACCATCACAAGCTGCCTGCCTCTCTCCATCTGTCTCTGCTAAAAGGCAGTGCAAGGCAGAGACTGGCATCCTGTAACTGAGCACTAAACATCATATGTACTAAAAAGCAATGTAAAATATACAGAAGCAATGTAAAGTATGTAGAGTATGAAGTAGGTGAAGGCTAAGAAAGCGAAGATGGCTTTGGTGTTGATGATGTGTTGTGTGTGTTTGTGTGTGTATGTCAGCATGTGTGTGTATGCATGTCTGTATGTGTGTTGTGTTTGTGTCTGTGTGCATGTGTATGCATCTGTGTGCATGTGTGTGGGTCTGTGCACTTGTGTCTGAGTGTGTGTGCCTGTATGCGT